TTCGATTATATAACATTTGTTTTTTTTTTGTTTACCGCGAGTAATAAACAGTTACAAAATAAGATCCGTCTTCAATAAACTGATTGTTTAAAATCTTTCAACCTTTTATTTATATAATTTCCACTTATGATAGTTTAATAAAAGATGAAGATCTAAATCGAAAATCAGTTTGATCTATGCTTTTACTATATTTTCATGACGCGACCTTTTCTTATCGGCCCAAAATGATTTAAGATATCTACACTCAGCAATTTTGCTTCATGAAAGAACTATATTTGGCACACAGAACGTTTATTTACATACGTAATAAATTATGTAAGTTTATGTCAATCTTTTGTAGAAGATCTTGTCTTCGGTTTTATACGCTGTTTATTGCAGATAAACATTTTCGACGAAAACATTGCTAAATTTATACTAGAAAATCATATTACTTAAACGTTATTACACAACGCGTAAATCAAAGGCACATATCCAAAAATTATGTTTCTGATTCCGCGTAGTACATTTATTACATTTCAAGAATTTTATTCCGTGCATTAGACACTTAAATTAAATTAAATAAAAATGAATTACATTTGTACTGTACAAGTTAAATAACTTGCACGATTTCTATTTAACATTAGTTACTCACGTAATTAAATAATATAAATTTCCAAACTTGTTAGAATGGTATTCTCTCTCATGACTTATGAAAGATTAGAATTCTCTTTAGAAGATTAAAGAGAAGAGTCCTCTTCAAAAGATTAGTTTCCTTCTAGATATGTAGTTCTTGAATTTTTATGTTATTCAAATTTCTTACCTTTTGTACTTAAGATTTGTTGCTCGACAGTCTCAATATGCTGCGATTCTTCTGGTATCTGAATAATCCAACGAATTTTCCTCCGCTGCATCTGAAACGATCGACCGCGCAGCAGTCGATAATCCAACAATATTTAAGAATCGCGAAGTGTCGCGTGATTTGCGATTCTAGCTGCTAGACTGAATGAGATTAGTAGCGTAAGGCTGATTTAAGGCCGCCGCGACGCCGACAGTATCGACGCGATTATTTTTTACGGACGAAGGTTCACCGATAATACGAACGAATGAAGCACTATTGATAGTACAACGATCCGCAGCAAACCTTCAAATTACCACCAAAATATTTGCAATTCGAGTTTTCTGAAATCTTAGGAATCGCAATCACAAACATCGTTATTGTATTTTAATTCAAAAACTAATTTAACTTTCTCGAATTTTCCTCCTGACACGTATTTGAAATTAAAACTAGATTTCGATTGTATAAATAAAACATTTATATTAATATTGTTTTTAATTGAAATAGAACTTTATTAATTATTTTAAATCCACAAAAATTTGCATTACAAGATTTAAATTGCGAGGTATTGATACAAAGCTTTAAGAATCATTAACTGTTATCTGCTATATTTCTTTAGTGCGTGGAGTTCTTTTTATCTACACATGTACATTTAGCTATCGAAAACTATTTTATAATTCGAGATAACTTATAGATAAGTCATCAAAATAAAGAGAAATACTTTCTGTAATTAATCAAAGAAATACTTCTCCTAATAATTACGTTTAAAATCCATTAACCGAGATCAAAACAACGAGCGTGCTAGCCTCGTGTGATTGCGATTTATTACGCGAACACCTATATGGATGACCTCCACCTGTACACACTCGCACAAATTGCGGACAAATTACGCGCTTCCTACTGTATAATCATTAACGGAAACAAAAGCCAGAGCATCATCGCGCAGCGAATGTGACAGCATGAAGTGTTGCCGTTTTCCATGCACTGGTAATCCCAGCATCCCAGTAATTCACATCTCTCGTCGTCGCCCGATTCATTCTCGTGACCGCGAAATCGTACTCGCGACGAACGCATCATTCGCACCTAATCGACAGGTTCCTGTAGAAACAATTGATCACCTTGAAGACAACTGCGCAACATCGGAGAAGAATGCGTTCTTTTTCGTTCGGAGAACGTTCTATACCAAGCGTCGTGGACTGGACGGTAAGCCGGCGGACGTAAATACTGACAGCGATTTGGTCAGCGGAAGTGACACTGACTATCCGGACGGGGCACCCATCGCGTCCGAGCGCGTGCTCACTATACGTCAACTCCTAACCACGAGGAGGAATTGTCAATCAACGCGCACATACTCATGCTCAGTACTCGCCGCAGTTGCAGCCGGTGCAATCTCACCGTGGATGCCTCTCGGCTAATCACCGGAGAACGTCATCACGCCTACGTTCGCGGCCGGCAACCTGTCACGCGGCATAAGACCCGATAATAAACATGATAATAAGTATAATATAGGTACATGCGAGTCAGCTCGTCTGCATGCAATCGCTTGAGTGTCTCTTTATTCGCTTTTCTTTGAGATTTCTCAGAGCAATCCGGAAACGGTCTTTATGCCTGGGTGAAAACATCATCGATGGATCGGTCATTTGTCAATTATAAGGAATTGAGATGATTAATTTATAATTATAAGACGTTGAAATATGAACGGAGGGATATTCCGTGCTCCGTTTAAGTCTCTGACTTGTGACTATAATGTATTTAACTCATAAATGAGTGAAGAGAGCGATATTATTCGGTCGAGATGAGTCTTGTCTAATAATATATTGTGTGCCATTTTTACAATTTTTAATTCAAAACAAACTGCACACTGATTATATTTGTGTCGGTCTTGAAACACAGTCTTAGACTGGAGCACGCAATCTCACAAATTAAATTAACAGGCAATTTAATATTATTGATGCTAATAAACATCTTTAAAGCACTAAATAATTTCTCGATCTATTTTTATTTTACATTGTTAATCCATAAATACAAACCTATTATCATTCTTACAAAAATTAACATTCTATTTTCTAAATTTTAAAAATATATTTAAGAAATTAGAAAATAATTATTCTGAGAATAATAATAAAATGTAAATAGAAATAAAATAAAAAATAAAAAATGAATTGAGAACGAAAAATTAAAATTTTGGCTTCTCTATAAAAAAAAAGCCAATCATCTTTGTTATATGAAAAAATCGGTGTAATAACTTTATTTTAAATCGAAACATTACTTTAAATTTTTGACATATTAATCCAAATATTGTGTGTGTGTGTGTGTGTGTGTGTGTGTGTGTGTGTGTGTGTGTGTGTGTGTGTGTGTGTGTGTGTGTGTGTGTGTGTGTGTGTG